ATATTTTTAGTTATCCGATTAATTTCTTTCTATTTTTAGTAGAGATGGGGTCTTGCTCTTGCTCAGGCTGGTCTCAAACTCCGGAGCTCAAACAATCCGCCCGCCTCGGCCTCCCAGAGAGCTAGGATTACAGGCGTGAGCCACCGCGCCCAGCCTTCCACTTTTTTTTTAAGAGATGGTGTCTCACTCTGTCTCCCAGGCTGGAATGCAGTGGCCTGATCATAGGTCACTGTAACCTCAAATTCCTGGGCTCGCACAATCCTCCTGCCTCAGCCTCCTGAGTAGTTGGGACTACAGGTGTGCACCACCACACCTGGCTAATTTTTAAATTTTTGTTTATAGATGGGCTCTTGCTATGTTGCCGCGGCTGGTGTCAAACTCCTGGCCTCAAGCAATCCTCTCCCTTCGGCCTCCCAAGGTGCTGGCATTACGGGTATGAGCTGGCCTCTTCTCCTACTTTCAAATGTCTTTTGGTGAAAGGAAGTTCTTAGTTTGAATGTAATCCAGTTTATCAATATTTTCCTTTATAGTAAATACATTTTATATCCTGTTAAAAAATCTTTGCTTAAAGTCATCTTAAGGTCTTTTCCTGTGCTCTCTTCTAGAAGCTGTATATATTGTCTTTCCTTTCATGTCTAGATGTCAAATATATATGGAATTGATTTTGCAGGTAGAATGAAGTAGGGATCTCGTTTAATTTTTTCTATGTGGATATCCAACTGACCCAGCAACATTTGTTGAAACGCCCATCCTTTCCTCATGTTGGCTCTGAAAAGCCACCCTCATCAAAATTCAAGTTTCCACATATCTTTAGGCCTGTCTCTGGATTTTGTTCCATTAGTCTGCCTATTCCTGTACCAGTACCATACAGTCTTGGTTTCTGTAGCGTTTTAAATCTTGATCTGCAATAAAGGAAGTTTTCCTCCTACTTTGATTTTTTTCAAGACTTTCTTGGGTATTCTTGGCCCTCATACATTTTAGAATCTAGTTTATCAGTTTACAGACACACACACAATCTACTGGGGTTTCGATTGAAGCTGTATTGAATCCATGTATCAATGTGGGGAAAATTGGAACATTTACAATATTGGATCTTCCAATCTTTGAACAATTTTCACTCTCTTTCAACGTTTTTTAGGGTTTTTTCTTCATGTGTGTCTATGTAGAGTCTTTGTGCATCTTTCATTAGATTTATTCCTCAGCATTTGATATTACTTGATGCTATTGTCAATGGCATTGTTGTTAAGAAATTTATTGTCTGTTGCTGATATGTAGAAATTATAACTTTTTTTGGTTTTTGTTTTGTTTTGTTTTGAGACAGGGTCTTGCTCTGTTACCCAGGCTGGAGTGCAGTGGCCAGTCATAGCTCACTGCAGCCTCAAGCAATCCTCCTGCCTTAGCCTCTCAAGTGTTAGGATTACAGGTGTTAGCCCCCGTGCCCAGCCTTCATAACTTTTTATTTTTCTTGCCTTACTGCACTGGACAGGTCCTCCAATATAGTACTGAGGCTTGTGGTCATGAATGTAAAATGAGACCAATTAGCATGGTTGTGTGTTTTTCTCCAGCAATGTTCTGCTGCTCCAGAGACAAAGAATACACAAAGAGTCTATTTTAAGTGGGGTTACATTTTGGGCTACAGAGTTTGTCTAAGAAGAACAGAGCAGGGGAGTTGTTATAGCACTGGATTCTATAAGGCTAATGGTAAAGGTCAAGGAGCTGAGGAGGTGAACAACAGACTGGAGATCTCGGTGAGGTCAAAGAACAGTTGGGTAATTGAGCTGGACAGTATGGCAAGGTCTTCTGGCCTACTCTCCTGGAAAGGTACAAGAGAGTCTGGGAGAGGGCAAACTCAGGGTGGGGAAGAAAAGGTAGGAGAAAAAGAGAGTCTGAGAAGTGTTAGAGGCTGAGAAGAGCCACACCTTTGCCCTCTGGTTTTCTGATCTTCTCTCCATCTGCCGCGAAGCAGCCTCAAATCCAGGTGTCTGGGCCCTGAGGGGACCCTCTACCTGGGAACTAATGAGAAGAGAAAGAGGATGAACCATGTAGGGATCTTCCTATGTTCTTAGGAGGTGGGCAAGGCTGGACTTGGAGGTGGAGCTGTCATCAACACTTGGTTTTTGACTTTACAGGGAATGTATTAGGAGCTGCCACTGGGGGTGGGGCACAGAGGTGAGTGCAGAGGGAAGGGCTGCATAGAACAGCAGTCACAACGGGAGGACAACAGTGGAGGCATCAGCTCTCTAAGATAACTCAAGTGCCTCCTCTGGAACCCCAGCACTCCTCCCCACTAATGCCCTGTCTGTACCTTACTTCTTTGGCGTAAGGTTTTTGTGCCCCCTACTCACTAGATTGTGGACCCGGAGAGCCATAGCGCTCTCAAAACCACGTGCAGGGTCTCAGCCCCTGCATCGACTGGCCCAGATCCAACGGAGTTCCGCCCTAAGCGTCTCTACAGATCCTCCACCTGCACGCATAAACTCATAGGAATCCAGCCCCTGCATCTGGCGCGGAGCTCTGATTCTGAAGAGGTCTTCACATTCAGAAACGCCGGAGGGCACTACGAGCCCACCAGCCTGTTTTCGGTAGCCACATGGGGCGCTCGCGAGGTGGAACCCGCAGAAGCCTTGTCTCTGGGAAGTGGACAAGTCAAGGGGTGAACGAATGCGCCGTCTGATTGGTTGGTGGTGATGTCATAGGTACCGTTCGGGGCGGGCCAGAGGCCTTGGCCAGGAGTTCTTCGTCTGTTTGAAGCAGGATCTACCCCGTCGGGGGAGCCGCACCCAATGGAGCGTTCTGGGGGTCCTGGTCCTGACCTCCTCCTCCGTGCCAGGATGCCCGCGTTCTCTGTACCTGGCACTGCAGCCCGCTCTCGATGCCGCCTTTGGAGGCCGGTCCATATAGTGCCACCTGGGTCATCTCTCCAGGCTAGCCTGGAACCCGCGGAGTCCCCTCCCCGCATACAATGAATCTTGCTGTGAGGGGCGGGGCCTCCCATTGTGCCAATAGAGACAATGACTCTCTGATTGGAATGCTCCACGTTCACCCCTCGTCCCCGCTTGTCTTCTGTGACGTCTGTTGCGCCAAGAACACCCATTGGCCAGCTGAAACCGGCGCGTGCCAGGAGTTGCCCCGCGCGGGGAGAGCTGGATTGAACGAGGGGGAGGGGGGAGGACTGAGCTTCTGTCAGTCCCTTCAAGGGGTTAAGGGATGCGGTCGTGGCAGGCGAGGGGCGGGGATCCAAGGAAGCTGGTTTTGCAGCCGTGGGGCTACGCTGGACTCCACGTGGCATCCCAGAGCACTCGGGACCCGTGACCTGGAGAGGGGGTGTACCCTCCAGTGGAGAAGCCCCGAGCCCAGGAGACTGCTGGGGGCTGGCAAGGCGGGGGAGAATTTGGTCTCTCTTCCCTCCTCGGTAGGGTCATCTTTGGTCCCTGCTGCACAAGGGTGCTCCAAACAAGCAGATGGTCACAACATGTTTAATAAGTTAAAACTCGCTGATCGATTAAAGCTATTTGGGCTGCTGTCGCCCCAGACCCCTGTTCGGCCATCGTCCCCCGCCCCAGGATTCCACGTGTACCCACGCCCAGAGCGGTGAGAACGCTCAGGGGCACTAAACTTTCAGACCAAAATTCGGGACACGATTCGGAACCAGTGTTCAGGAAGAGGGACAAGAGATCCGCAGGCAAAAGAAAGGCTGGGAGACGGAGCTGGGACAGCGACCTAGAAGGAGGAGGGAGGCGGGTTAGGGCGGCGGCCGAGAGCCGGGAGGGCGGACCCAAGGCGGCGGTGTTCCGTGCTCTGTTCAGCACCGCGAGCAGCACTTTTGTCCTCAGTAAAGATGGCGGCGACGGCTTCGGCCGTCAGACCTGCCATGCGCCACGGGTTGTACCACTGGGTTTGGGGCGTCGGGCATCCGGGAGCCATGTTGGAGCGGCGGGAGGCGGCAGCAGCGTCAGGGATGCTGCGGTGGGGGCTGCAAAAGCCGGGGCCACACGCCAAAGAGGCTCTGGCCGGAGAGTAGATGGTGCCCAGAGGGCGGCGGCGGCGGGGAGCGACAGGCCGAGGGGCTGAGGGCCGGGGCGGCGGCAGGGGCCCGGGAGGGGGCCCGAGCAGCGGGGCCGGCCCAAGGCTCGAACTCGAGCGGGGGGCGGTGGAGGCCGTGCAGGGAGGCGGGGGGTGATGGCGAGGCGGCTGCCGTGGCGGAGTCTCGGGGGACTGTCGACCCCCATACTCCTGCTCCTTCTTCTCCTCTCTTTGTTCCCCCTCAGCCGGGAGGAGCTGGGAGGCGGTGGGCACCAGGGCTGGGACCCGGGGTTAGCTGCTGCTACGGGGCCAGGGGCGCAGATCCACGGCAGAGCCTTAGCTCTTTGTCCGGAGCCGCTCGGGGTCCGGAAGGAAGGGAGCCCTGGCTTGGAAGTCAGGGAGCCTGTCTTCGTGGGGATCCGAGGCAGAAGGCAAAGCGCCCGGAGTGGTCAAGGGCCTCCTGAGCAGCCGAACGCGGAGCTGAGGACTAAACATGGGGTCCAGGCATTGGACAGCCGCGGGCGAGAGACAGGACAGGTACCAGGGTCTCTGTTACACTGGCGCCCAAAGGTCTCCTCTTGCGGGCGGACAGAATCTTTGCGAAGAGGTAGTCTGTCGCCAGAGGCTCTTTCCCCAGGGGTCCCGAGCCCAGGGAACAGCTCGCCTCTCCCTTCGGACCTCCTGGCTCGACCCCGTGGTCCCAAGCCGGTGTCCTCCCAGTGGAATACTGGGACAAGCGCCTACAAAAGAGTGGGAGCTGCCCGCTGCTGCGGGGAATTGTGGGCACCAGGGCGCAGGGGTCAGGGCGAGAGAGCCACGATATCCCGAGCGGAGAGGACAGCCCCTTGGCGGGACTGTTTTCCCCGGGCTGTGGGATCTGTTTCCCGATTGGATTCAGCACCGTGCACTGCGAGGACAGCTCCTACATCGGCTTCAGCACCCCGTGAGTCTCGGACAGCTCCCGATTCGGCGCCCGAGCGCATGCGCTCCCGCGGTTTCTTCCGCCGCCGCTTCCTCCCGCAGCGCCCCGGGCCGCGCCCCCCGGGGGTCTGGGCCAGTCCTCAAGCGTGGAGAATACCCTCAGGGAACCGAGCACGCTTCCGTCGCGCTGCAAACCGCCACCCGCAGTTTCCGCAGTACAACTACCAGACGCTAGTGCCCGAGAACGAGGCGGCAGGCACTGCTGTGCTACGCGTCGTTGCGCAAGACCCCGACGCTGGCGAGGCCGGCCGCCTAGTCTACTCGCTAGCGGCGCTCATGAACAGCCGCTCGCTGGAGCTGTTCAGCATCGACCCTCAAAGCGGCCTCATCCGCACGGCGGCCGCTCTGGACCGCGAGAGCATGGAGCGTCACTACCTGCGTGTGACCGCGCAGGACCACGGTTCGCCGCGCCTCTCGGCCACCACTATGGTGGCGGTGACAGTAGCCGATCGCAATGACCACTCGCCAGTTTTTGAGCAGGCGCAGTACCGGGAAACGCTTCGTGAGAATGTAGAGGAGGGCTACCCCATCCTGCAGTTGCGCGCCACGGATGGCGACGCGCCCCCCAACGCCAACCTGCGCTACCGCTTCGTGGGTCCGCCTGCTGCGCGCACCGCCGCTGCCGCCGCCTTCGAGATTGATCCACGCTCGGGCCTCATCAGCACCAGCGGCCGCGTGGACCGTGAGCACATGGAAAGCTACGAGCTGGTCGTGGAAGCCAGCGACCAGGGCCAGGAGCCCGGGCCGCGCTCTGCCACTGTGCGCGTACACATAACCGTGCTGGACGAGAATGACAACGCTCCCCAATTCAGCGAGAAGCGCTACGTGGCGCAAGTGCGCGAGGATGTGCGCCCCCACACGGTGGTGCTACGAGTCACTGCCACCGACAGGGACAAGGATGCCAACGGATTGGTGCACTACAACATCATCAGCGGAAACAGCCGTGGCCACTTTGCCATCGACAGCCTCACGGGCGAGATACAGGTGGTGGCACCTCTGGACTTCGAGGCAGAGAGAGAGTATGCCTTGCGCATCCGCGCGCAAGATGCCGGCCGGCCACCGCTGTCCAACAACACGGGCTTGGCCAGCATCCAGGTGGTGGACATCAATGACCACACTCCTATCTTTGTCAGCACGCCCTTTCAGGTCTCTGTCCTGGAAAATGCGCCCCTGGGTCACTCAGTCATCCACATTCAGGCGGTGGATGCTGACCATGGGGAGAACGCCAGATTGGAGTACTCCCTAACTGGTGTGGCACCTGATACTCCCTTTGTGATAAACAGCGCCACTGGCTGGGTCTCCGTGAGTGGTCCCCTGGACCGTGAGTCTGTGGAGCATTTCTTCTTTGGTGTGGAGGCCAGAGACCATGGCTCACCCCCACTCTCTGCCTCAGCCAGCGTCACAGTGACTGTGCTGGATGTTAATGATAATCGGCCTGAGTTCACCATGAAGGAATACCACCTACGGCTAAATGAGGATGCAGCTGTGGGCACCAGTGTGGTCAGTGTGACCGCTGTAGACCGTGATGCCAACAGTGCCATCAGTTACCAGATCACAGGTGGCAACACTCGGAATCGCTTTGCCATCAGCACCCAGGGAGGTGTGGGTCTTGTGACACTAGCTCTGCCATTGGACTACAAGCAGGAACGCTACTTCAAGCTGGTACTAACTGCATCTGACCGTGCCCTTCACGACCACTGCTATGTGCACATCAACATCACAGATGCCAACACTCACCGGCCTGTTTTTCAAAGTGCCCACTATTCAGTGAGCATGAATGAGGATCGGCCAGTGGGTAGCACCGTAGTGGTCATCAGTGCCTCTGATGATGATGTTGGTGAGAATGCTCGTATCACCTATCTCCTAGAGGACAACCTGCCTCAGTTCCGCATTGATGCAGACTCAGGGGCCATTACACTGCAGGCCCCATTGGACTATGAGGATCAGGTGACCTACACACTGGCTATTACAGCTCGGGACAATGGCATTCCGCAGAAGGCAGACACCACTTATGTGGAGGTGATGGTCAATGATGTGAATGACAATGCTCCACAGTTTGTGGCCTCCCATTACACAGGGTTGGTCTCTGAGGATGCCCCACCTTTCACCAGTGTCCTGCAGATCTCAGCCACTGATCGGGATGCTCATGCCAATGGCCGGGTCCAGTACACTTTCCAGAATGGGGAGGATGGGGATGGAGATTTTACCATTGAGCCCACCTCTGGCATTGTCCGTACAGTGAGGCGGCTGGACCGGGAGGCGGTGCCAGTATATGAGTTGACTGCCTATGCAGTGGACCGAGGTGTGCCCCCACTGCGGACTCCGGTCAGTATCCAGGTTACAGTGCAGGATGTGAATGACAATGCACCTGTCTTCCCAGCTGAGGAATTTGAGGTGCGGGTGAAGGAGAACAGCATTGTGGGATCAGTGGTGGCTCAGATTACTGCACTGGACCCTGATGAAGGCCCCAATGCCCATATAATGTACCAGATTGTGGAGGGGAACATCCCTGAGCTGTTCCAAATGGACATCTTCTCTGGAGAACTGACAGCACTCATTGACCTGGACTATGAGGCTCGCCAGGAATATGTGATTGTGGTGCAGGCCACGTCTGCTCCTCTGGTCAGCCGGGCCACTGTGCATGTCCGCCTGGTTGACCAGAATGACAATAGCCCTGTGCTCAACAACTTTCAGATCCTCTTCAACAACTATGTATCCAACCGCTCAGATACCTTTCCCTCGGGCATCATTGGGCGCATCCCAGCTTACGACCCTGATGTCTCTGACCACCTCTTCTACTCCTTTGAGCGTGGCAATGAGCTGCAGCTGCTGGTGGTTAACCAGACCAGTGGGGAGCTGCGACTCAGCCGAAAGCTAGACAACAACCGCCCACTGGTGGCCTCCATGTTGGTGACTGTCACAGGTGAGTGGCAGGGGACAGACAAGTGACCCAGTGACCCCAACCTGTCAGGGCCTCAGGAACTCCACAGGGCACCTCAGACCAAAGAGGGATTTCCAAGCCTTCCAAGACTCCCTTAAGTTTTGGGTCCCTGCAACCCACAGATCTGCCATAGACCTCACAGGGACTCTGCTTAAGGTTCTTGGACAGTCTCTACAGAATCCCAAAGATTCCAAGGCATCTAGCAGACCCCATAAAGACTTTAAAGAACCATTTGCTACCCTAGGGATAGCTCCCCTCCCCACAAAATGCCAGAGATCCTGGGGTAATTCTCTGGAGGTCCTAGAAAAAGATGGTATGGGCCAGTCAGTCTACATCATACCCATGTTCAGATGAAGAGTTACTTTGAATCCAGTTTGACCCTCACCCCATCTGTGCAGGAAAAGGAGATCGGTAGTTTAGTGGTTAGAAACAGCAGCTTCCTATGGCAGCTTCAGGCTGAGAGTGAGTCCACATTGGCCTGGCTGCTGTCCCAGGGGCTGTCCGAGGCCCTGCTCTTTGGGAAAATGTCCAGAGGTCATCCTGCCTCTTTCCTCCCTCCTCTGCTTCAGTCTTTCACACACCCCTCTCTAATAGGAGGGTGCAAGTCCTGCCTCCTGGAGGCTGCAAAAGTTGCAAGACAGGCTTTGCTGGTGTTAATGTCTCAAATCTGGAGCTGGGACTCCTGGCACTGCCAGAGAAGGCACAGCATTCATTTATCCAATTCACTCAACAACCTATGCTTATTGACCACCCAGTGTGTGCTAGGGTCTGGAGACAAGGTGAACAAGGCAGATAAGCACCTCATCTTCATCTCTGTGGTGGCCACTGAAACTACACGACCCAGACGTGGAGTGGTGGACAGCTTGCTAACTCAAGAATGCTGGTGTGTGTGTGTACATGTGTG